GCACAGAGCCCTGCCCCAGCCCTGCTGCTCTGCAGGGGGGTCCTGCTCCCACCCTGCCTTGGAGCTCTGGTTTCTCCTGCCCTGCACCCCCAGCCCCCCCTTCCCCCAGCCCAGGAGAAACCAGAGCCCCAGAGCATCAGCCCTGCTCCTGGTTTCCATGGGAACCAAAGTGCTGCTGGTCCTCCCAGCCCTGCAGATGCTGCTGAGCACCCAGGCGAGGCTGAGGCTGGGAGGGAACCATCCCCACCCTTCTGCAGAGCAGCTGGAACACCTTCCCAAATGTCCCCTGCTCCCTGCTGCAGGCAGGGGACAACCCAGTTCTTGGGTTGTGTCACCACACAGGTCTGTGTCTCAGGTGCACGTGGGCTGTGGGTTCCAGCTGGAGCAGCTGGGATGAACCAAGAGGCCACCAGCATCCTGGCTGGTGTCAGCACTGGGGTGGGCAGCAGGGCCAGGGCAGGGATCATCCCCCTGTGCTGGGCACTGGGGAGGGGGCACCTCAAATCCTGGGGTCAGTTCTGGGCCCCTCAGGACAAGAAGGACATGGAGGGGCTGGAGCCAGGCCAGGGAAGGGCAAGGGAGCTGGGGAAGGGGCTGGAGCACAAGTGTGAGCAGGAGCAGCTGAGGGAGCTGGGGGTGTCCAGCCGGGAGACAAGGAGGGGAGGGGAGCCCTGCTGGCTCTGCAGCTGCTGAGAGGAGGTTGGAGCCAGGGGGGTCGGGCTCTGCTCCCCAGGAACAAGGGGAGGGACAAGAGGAAATGGCCTCAAGTTGCGCCAGGGGAGGCTGAGGTTGGATCTTGGGAACAATTTCTCCCTGAAAGGGTTGTCAGGGCCTGGCCCAGGCTGCCCAGGGAGGTGCTTGAATCCCCATCCCTGGATGGGCTTCCAAGCCCTGGAGATGGTGCTGAGGGACATGTTAGTGGTGGGGTTGGTCATGAAGGTCTTTTCCAACCAAAACAATTCCATGATTGTACGACCCTGTATCCCTCAGGAGCAGTGTGAGCCAGGCTTCTTCCCTCATGCAGCTGAGGTTTTCCTGCTGCTGGACACTGGCCTCAGCCTGCAGGCAGAGCCTCCCTGGGGGTCACCTACCTGGAAATCCAGGTGCCAGGGCTCAGGGCTGAGCTGCTGCAGGTCCTGCAGGTGGGTCTTGCCAAGGGGGTTTCCCAGCAGGTCAGTGCCAGGGTCACTGCCTGTGGGCACCTTCTGGCAGGGCTCGTGGTCAGCAATCTGGGTGGTGCTGTAGGCCCTTCTCCTGGAGGAAACCTTCCCGTCCATCCCTGTGTGGTGGGAGAGAGGATCAGCTCCAGCCTGGAGCAGGACCACCCAGCACCACCCACCCTTGGCTCCCAGTGGGTCCTGCTGGGGCAGAAGGGGCCACGCTCAGCCCTGCTGGCTCAAGCAAAGCATCCAAACCACAAAGGGAATTAAAAAAACCCCAACAAAACCCACACTCAAAACTCCTGGGGACGTCAGGAAGAGCAGGTTGGGGAGGTTTAGTCTGAGCAGTTTTCAGCCAGAAAAAAAAGCCTGGCTGCGTTTCCCTCCACCTCCCTGGAGAAGACAAAGGGGTTCACTAATTAGTTCCCATTAGCGCCGACGTTCTCCTGTCAGAGAGAGTGGCAGGTTCCCTCCCTGCGGGCAGGAGCCCCACGCTGCTCTTGGCAAGGGTGACGGGATGTGCAGGTGCCTCTGAGAAGGAGAAGAGCAGAACAGCCCGTGGGCTGCAGAGGTTCCCGTGCAGCTCGGAGGTGCCACCAGCACAGAGGTGCCACCAGAGGTGCCACCAGCTCGGAGGTGCCACCAGCTCAGAGGTGCCACCAGAGGTACCACCAGCACAGAAGTGCCACCAGCTGCTCTGTGCTGTCACCAACACCCTGCTGAGCTGTGGGGACACCCTGGGGACAGGGTTTTGGAGCTATTTCCCCCCCATCATGGTCTCAAAGTGCATTGTCAGGGGTTGGAGGGACAGGACCAGCTCATCCTTCTCCAGCTCGGGGGGTTTGTAAAGAAGGACATGGGCAAAGCTTTGGAAACACAAATCTCCAGGGAAGGAACCTGGGCTGTGGGTTCCAGCTGGAGCAGCTGGGATGAACCAAGAGGCCACCAGCATCCTGGCTGGTGTCAGCACTGGGGTGGGCAGCAGGGCCAGGGCAGGGATCATCCCCCTGTGCTGGGCACTGGGAAGGGGGCACCTCAAATCCTGGGGTCAGTTCTGGGCCCCTCAGGACAAGAAGGACATGGAGGGGCTGG